ATATATATATATATATATATATATATATATATATATATATATATATATATATATATATATATATATATATATATATATATATATATATATATATATATATATATATATATATATATATATATATATATATATATATATATATATATATATATATATATATATATATATATATATATATATATATATATATATATATATATATATATATATATATATATATTCTCACGTATTGATTCACGGATGGAAAAATGTGATGACACTATACTCCGGGATATCATCCGTTCGCTCGTTGAACTCCGACTGGAATCCTGCATCCGACTGGAATTCTGCAAATCCTGCATCCGACTGGAATCCTGCAGACGTTTCGCCAAAATCTCACTTGGCATCTTCAATGCTCGCGCTGAGTGTTCGAAGTGTTTTCGGAGCGCGAGCATTGAAGATGCCAAGTGAGATTTTGGCCGAAACGTCTGCAGGATTCCAGTCGGATGCAGGATTTGCAGAATTCCAGTCGGATGCAGGATTCCAGTCGGAGTTCAACGAGCGAACGGATGATATCCCGGAGTATAGTGTCATCATATATATATATATATATATATATATATATATATATATATATATATATATATATATATATATATATATATATATATATATATATATATATATATATATGTTTATTTTCTGTAATAAAAGTCCTTAATTATTATTATTATTATCATGTCGATGGATTAAATCTAGTTTGGTTTGTTACGAGGCATTAACAAAATGTTTCATTTCATAATATTCTCGAAACTCGATTAAATGAGAGTTGATCGTCGAAAATATTTTAAATATTGATTTTGAATTTGAACTCGATTTTCCAATGAAGAATTGCCTTGTACTTTCGACATTTTCGCAATAGAAAAGGGTGAAATCGTCATTTCCAGTACCGCGAAGAGTGCTAAAGGACCAATACGAAGGTCGGTTGGAAGCGGACGAAACAGACTACGACCCAAACGAGAACGATGAGGACTTTGACGCATACGATACCGGAAATGAGTATATCAGAGAATCTGCAGCTTCACCAGCCGTTCCAAATCTCGAAAACGTCTCAAGAGATAATTTTACCAAGGATGCAGACGTAGGCATTTATCCGTCGGATAAATCGGACGGTCTGCATTTTGGTAAGTAATAGACATTACCCTCCTGACAGTGTAGGGGATTTAGTTCACCTGCAGTGTTCTATTGAACCGCGATCCATGTTAGGGGTGTGGAACAGCGAATTTTCGGGGGTGCAAATGGAAACGCGAGGGATTGGTTTCCGGTTAGTTATAGCCCAATTTTTTATTCGATAATGATTTTTGTCGGATGCGGATCGCGTTTTGTAGACGTTAATGACGTGCCTATTTTTTTACTCTTTGCCCCGGTTGTTGTAATACGGCCGTTTTTAACGAATGTCGCGTACAAAAACGTGGGAAAACCGGATAAAAAAACGAACGAAACCCTTAAATATCGAAAGAAAGAAAAAAAAAACACACGTTCCGGATCCGCGAATACTTTTATTCTTGTCTTGCAGTCCTTTTCATCGATCCTTCACTTACAGAAAGCCATAACTCTTTGTTCCATTTGGAAATCAAATTTTAAATAAACGTGTTTTCATTTGTTTTTACCCCCGTTCTTGTAGTATATGTCGTTTTTGATGTCTCAGTCATTTTTCTCAGGAAAGTCGGGGAAATATTTTACTTTCGGCGCTGCCGAAAAATAATCTTTGCTTTGTATCCGCGATCGGTCCTACAGATGTTTGTTTTGATATTGAAAATAAATGAGTTTAAGAGATTGTGTGTAGACAGAGTCTAAAAGGTCAATATTGAACGGCATTGTTCAATAAACACGTTAAGTGAGTTGAAAGGGTTGCCAAATGTCACATCAGAATGCACTTCGATTAGTGAAGTAACTACAGTGGCCTATTAAAACGGGCGGTTGATATAATTAGTACACGGGAAAAATAAATTACTGTAAATCGATAATGGTAAATGCTATTGCACCAGAAACGTATTTATAACATAGAATCTTATATTATTATATCTAATATTGTCGATAAATTAAATGCAAAAGTAGTTGAAGGAAAGATATGCTTATATAAATTTAATAAGTCAGTGATAATCAGTCAGACTTAAAATTCAATTTAGGGCAAATATTTAAAAATCTGCTATTTATTGCTCTATAACAAATATATATTTTATAATAAATCGGATCTCAAGTTGATTCCATTATAAAAAAAATATTATTTAATGTTTTGAACAGGCCTACACGCTGATGATATTCTCAGAAAACAAGGTAAAAAAGGCCAAAACTTCAAATACCTTACAATTTCATCAACTAAATAAAATACAGGATATATATATACATATATATATATATATATATATATATATATATATATATATATATATATATATATATATATATATATATATATATATATATATATATATATATATATATATATATATATATATATATATATATATATATATATATATATATATATATATATATATATATATATATATATATATATATATATAGATATAGTGAACTCGAAAGTTGCATCAAAATTGGTTCGCTGTATCCGAGGTTTACTAAAAGCAATAAATGACCTTTTGTACACATCTGACGTTTATCCGATGAATGGAGGTTATTACATAATATATAATATGATGTACGTTGGTTTTGTAAAAAAATGCCACGATATACTAGCATTTTTCTAGATGTCTACATGTATTATGTAATGTTTGAAAAATGAAAATTAATTATCATTCTATACAAAACAAGTAACAAGTGAAGAAGAACAAGTAAACAATATCTAAAAAAATAAACTAAAAGAAATACATGTATCCATGGTTTGTATGAGCCTGTTAGAAAAGTTGATATTACAATCAAATCTTTATTATTTTTTCCGTCATGTCTTTTACTGAAGGAACATTGATCATGGTCACTTCCTCATTAGCCTCTTCGTTTAGTTCATCTTCACTCAATTCTGTATTTGTTTCTGAAAAAAATTAAGTAAATCGGTCATTATTTTAACGTTACATTTCATGATATAGATACATGTTGACGCTAACTGGATAATTTCGTCTTGTGTCAAAGATTCGGTTGGAATAACTTAACCTAATCTCTGCTTCAAGGGCTTTCTGGGTGTCGGTATTTTCCTCGCCATTTTCAGGATCTCCTGAATGTTTTTTTAGTCATTCCTTTAGAGGCAATTCATCATCAGAGTCAAAATGATCTTCTGCTTCAAACAGTTTACAACAGTGTTTTTGCTAACTTCCTGCCAAGCACGGTGAATAAAATTTACAGCATCCAATAAGCTCACTGAAACCTCTTGTCCATCATCAATTGCTTCTATCATCTTTATCAGCAAAATCTTCCTAGTGACACTTCAGAGAATGGATTATGCCTTGGTCCATGGTCTGTAGCTTTGAACTGGCATTGGGTGGCATAAAAACCAGTTTGATTTAGTTCAACGGAACATTGGGATGTGTTGGAGAATTATCTACTAAAAGAATAATTTTTCTGTTCTTCTGCTTCAATTCTGTATCCCATTGGAGCAGCTCTTCGGTAAATAAGACAGATGTCATCCGCGCTTTGGATTAACTGGTTTGCTGATAACAAACAGCTTTCTATTTTCTGTTCCAGACATATTTGCAGTAACCAGAACTGTTATTCGAACCTTGGACAATTTTCCACCTGCACACTTTTCTCCTTGGAATTTCAATGTTTTATCAACGGTTAGTTTGTAGAAAAGGCAGGTCTCATCGGCGTTAAAAATATTGTCACTGTCATATTTTTTGCAAAGATCAGGCCAAACCGTTGTGAGCCAGTTATTAACAACATTCATATCAACTGATGCAGATTCACCAATAATTTTTCCTCCAGAGATACACTTTCTTTTCTTAAAAAGTTCAATCCAACTTCTGGAACACACAAAATTTCTTCCTTCTATTCTACTTCCCATTTCACTTGCTTTTTGCTGAAGAACTGGACCATAGGACGAGAGAATCCTATCTTTTTTTACAGGTAATGGAGACAGTTGACTTAGGCAAAATCATTTCACGACAAATATCACTTTGTTTCATACCACATTTAATTTTTTGTATAACATCGCATTTTTCTTTCAAAGTTAATGCTTTTCATTTTTGCTTCTCCATTTGAAGGTCTGTCATCAATATTCTCTACGAAATTTAAATCACAACTGGGATCAAAACAATAAGAAAACAAATAGATCTTAGTTTCAACGAAATTTAGTTCACTCTCTCCGAAAGTTCACTATATCTGGGTTCACTATAAACAGTAAAAAATTTACCTTTGTCTTATGAGACTTTTTGAGTATATTTCAAGAAGTGTTTATTATGACCGAATGTTCACAATAAACGGGTTTACTATATCCGAACTCCATTGTAGTTGCTTAATATAACAGTGAAATTGGAATAACTTTATCGAAAACTATGACCTAATATACAGTCAAATAAATGGTATGGATATTGTTCAATTAATAATGATAAATGCTATTTTTCAAAAAAGTATTTATAGTATCGAATATCATCGTATTGTTTATTGTTGAAAAAATATTGTTGATAAATTAAATTAAAATCAGTTAAAGGAAAGACACGATTATATGAATAAAAAAAATTTGTCAGCCTCAATCAGTCGGCATTAAAATCTAACTTAAATTTCGGAGAGGCTATTTTGTAATAATGTTTATTATTTTTTGTCCAATAACAATAATAAGTGCTTAAAAAGGTGCTAAAAAATATTAATATAATAAACCCTAACCCAACTACACCACCTACAGGCCTGCAGACAGTTGGTATTCTCAGAAAATAGTATAATGTCGTCAACTAAATAAAATAGTTGCTCAACAATGAAATTGGATTGACTCTATCTGAAAGTTTGATTTTAATTTTTTACGTATTAAAATTACTTATTATTATTATTACTATTTCCAAGTTCAATTCTTTCAATGAAACTAAAAAACATGTAAATGTAAATGTTTTACGTTTTCGTTGTTGCTTTTTTTTTGAAAAATCTGAATGACATTTTTGTAATTTGTGCTCAATGGTAAACTGAAACGGACCTGTCTGATAAAATCTCGTTTTGCGTCTTTCTCTAACTAGAAAGAAAACATAAATCAACGGGATATCGAAAGACGACGACCCCAGCGGCGGATAATTATTATTTAAAGGTCGTCACATAAAACTAAGCTTTTTTTGAGAGGGATACAAATATTTCTGCGTTAATACTGATACGACGGAAAAACATTTTTCAAATAAATTGGAGTTTTTGTCTTTCCTTTTCGTGCGTTCCAAATCTATCGATCGCACGACAAGTATACAGAATATTTTTGACAGCGTAGATAAACGAAATCAGTAATTGAAACAAGAAAAGAATTAACCGAGTAATGGATTTTGTTTTCAGAAATCCAAAAACGATACTTCCTGTATCTCATCATTAGCGTCGCCGTGGCTGTTCTGCTATTGATAAGTTTTCTAGTCGGACGATTTTTATTACAACGGCATCGAACGCAAAAGGAGGAGAAATTTTATGCGACCAGTATATCTGATCATACCCTCGCCAACGGTTTCACGGATGATATTAGTGAGGTTTGTAAACATTCACCCTTTAGCCCTAATACTGCCACTTTACGATAACATTGTTTTCGGTTCTATCGGAAAACCGTTGCTACCTGATAAACGCACTATTCGAAAAGGGTCCCCTCCTTTTGTTCCTAACCAATGAGGTTAGCGATTCTTTAAAAAATCTGACCCATATTTTTTTAAAGTAATTCAATTAAATGATTAAAAACTATTTCAAATTATTGACAATTTTCATTTCCATTACCGAAATATGCCAAGTTTGACCAATGAAACCCGTTTTCAGAATACTTTCAAAGAGTCAATATTACTAAAAGTTTTAATATGAACAAAAAAAAATTTTTTCCTCATAAAAATGCTAACTAATAAAATCTGCCATCGAACTCTATTTTGGTGTGATTATTGGATTTTTTCAAAATTAACATAAACGTATAGTGGGGGATGTTAATTGAGGGATGCCACAGTATCTCAGAATCCATACAAAAATCAAATAAAGTTAATGATAAAAAAAAACAAAAGAAAACTCTCTTGTAAAGCGATATATTACGAAAATATAATATAAAATATAAAAAATAAAATATTATATTATTATACATACTGGATATTTAAATTTGCCTAAGATAAGATATTTTTCAATTCCTGGCAACTCTCTACATACATATTTTATATAGTGAGTGATTTCAAGAAAAACGCTCACCCACGTCCATCAGAGTTTTTGTGCGCATTTTTTTAGTAAATAGAAAATATACAGAGTGCGTCAAAAAGTATATATAGATACCAAGTTCCTTTTATTAAATGGAACACCATTCATCGATTTTCGAATTCTGAGCAAAATTTCACGCATATTTCATGTAGCATACACTATACTCTATATAATTAATTTGGCTTATATCGTACCTTATTTTAAATTGTAAATCATCCAAATTTTGTAGTTTTTCTTATACACTTTTAAATGTCCCCAGAGGAAAAAATCCATCTGTCCGAGAAATACCATATTTAAATATTCGCGCACTTACTTTTTACAAAACGTTTGGATTCCTCCTGCGTCGGCTTTTGCTGGTCCGAACTTGCTGACGTTTCGCCAATCATCCTGCTGGCTTCTTCAGAGCTTCACTGAAACTGTCAGCAAGTTCGACTCAGCAAAAACCGACGCAAGAGGAATCTAGAAGTTTTGTAAAAAGTATTACAGTAGCCTGTGGAAGTTTCTTTGAAAAATTATTCACACACTTGTCGAGCACAATGATTTGGGAAACAAAACGCGAGAGCAATTTGAAGAAATTGTAAATAACGAGTTCCGGTAAGATTTTGATTAAACAAATATGGGCCAATTATTTTGTTATTCATTCGTGATTTTCTGTCATCCATCGGGGATTATTTGTACTGGTTTGTTTATCTGTATCTGACGATGACAAAAACGCTTTAAACTGCACATTTCATCATACTTTCACATAACTGTATGCTGCAGTCGGGATGTGGCCTTGTACGGTTGAGAATTTTCTTCTTTTAATACACGCAAAGCTGTTGGCTAAAACATTTGAAGCCACTTTATAAAATGCACGATGGGGATTATTCTCAACTTCTAATAAAATATTTAATCTGGTGTTATTAGCTTTTGGACGATCTGGATGCAGACGATCTTTGGCACCTATCAATTTTCTCTAAATTTGAATCATTGTGGATCTTGATATAGCTTTTTCTGGATATTTTGACTTAAACACATCACAAACCTCTTTTTGAGTTCTCGTTTTGTCTTCATCTCCAATAAAAATAAAAATTTCACTTTCATTACTGACTGTAATTGTAACAATTTAAAAACTTTGGTATTTAGCTGTCCATTTTAAAATTAATTAACATTCTGTTTTCTATTCTTTTTCTCGTAAAAAGTAAGAGATAGAATTCGAAAACGGATTTTAAAAAATGGTATTTCATTTGTATCGGATCATTTTCGTTCAATTCAATCCTGACTTTTAAATGAATTTGTCCCTTATTTTAGTAATTCACTGTATATATTATCCTATACTTCTTTACCGTTTCTGGCATATTTTGAATTTTATGTCAAAAGTGAAGTTTGTAAGTCTACGACGATTTCTCCGACTGAAAACGTCTTTGACCAGAGCGATCAAAAGGTAACAATGTCAAATGTAAAAAAATGGTATAAGGTTGAAGACTTTTTTCGAGGAACTAAAAAAATGCATTAATAGAACGAGTGTTCTATTTTAAAAACCAACAATTTGTATATATAACAATATCATATTTTTAAAGTAATTTCCCATAATAAACGAGACACTCAGAACTTGTATGGCCGTGTGATGCTTGTGCCAGTTGAAACGCGTAATGTATTTGTGATCGAATTTCATTTGTTTAACGTCACCAGTGAATCGCAAAAACTTAATAATTCAGTTTGGAAACTAAATTAATGTGTTGCCGTATGTAAGTTCGAATAGGTACCATAAAAACTAAACTTTATCTTAAAATGGCGACCCAATTTCCTGCGCAGACATTAAATATCTTATCTCAAAAATAAAACATAATAGTTGATGACAGAAGGAGCGGGATAAAACGAAAGTTTAAACTCAATAAATGTCGGGAATATCTTCATAAATCAACTTTTTGCATTCGATCCCGGGAAAAGATCGTTTTAGTTTAACCTTTGTCCCTAAAAGCTTTTATAAGACGATACGTTTGCCAGTCTCTTCGACTATGCAAAAAATGATATATTTTTTTAATGAAAAGTACGTGTTACTAACTTCAATGAGACATCGAACTGGATCCTGTGTTTAGTATTAGTTGGAGAATAAGAGGAAAGGAAAATATGAAAAGCTTAAATACAAATAACTTTGCGAGGACGCCCACACATTCAATAACGAGGCGGTTGGTTTTATTTTAACGAAACCATATCGGAAAAATCCCAGTAATGCCTTTTATTAAGTAGACTGCTACAACGTAATCTGTTCGGTGTACACAGGTCAGAGAAAAGCGGCTTAGCCGGGTAAGAAAGGCATCAAGCGCCATTTCACAACATTGTAAAAGCCACCAATCGTTATCTGTCGTGAATGGTTACTTTAAGAATACCTCGGCGAGGAAAATAAAAATTTTCGAAACAATCGCTATCGCATTTCAACGCAACGTTAATATAACGCAAGCAAAATGTGTAAAGCTAAGGGCATTCCGCAGTTCAATACTTCCGTTTAGTTATTGGGCAATTTATGTCGACTTCAGACGACAATTTGTCCGAGGCAAGCTTCGGCGCGAATTGCAAATAACATGAGAGTTAAAGACGGAACAAACGGGTTTAACACGACAATTGTTGTGTTAAACAAATTTAGGGACGATATTGGAAAAGCGATTTGTTTGCTTCAAGCGTGCAAAGACTAGCGCTTCCCGTAACAGACAAAAAAAATTCAAGGGTTTGTGGCTGGTCAACTCAACGCCCCGTAAAAGCCACGAATTTCACGCAATATTTTACATATTAGGCACTTGGGTGCATTTTTAAAAATTGTTTACAATTATTCACGGAAAAACAAACGCTCAATCGTGATTTTTATCAAAATCTTCGCTCGATATACGTTAATGGAGCCTACACCATTTACTCAACCAACATTATACATTTAAAACCGGAATAACCCGTCAACAAAATCCGTAATACAAACTCCGTGATTTAACATCGCGATAAAAAAAAGAAAAAATTGCCTCTATATTTTTGTTGACATCTACTGGAATGAAAATTCGATTTTCAGTCAATGAAATCTCTAGACAAACGGAAAAAAAAACTAATAATATTTATTGAAATACTAACATTTATGTTCAAAAACATACATTTTAATGCTGAACGTAACAAACGACCGTATTTAAAAAAGAGGAAAAAACAGAAAATAAAATATAATGAATAGTCAAAATATGTGTTAAAATTATCCATCTTCCAGCTGAGCGAAATAAACTACTGAAGCATTCAAAAACTACGCGTGGAGGAAACAGTACGCAAACAAAATGAAAAGCTAAATTTGAAGCACCAATCAAACCAAGAAAAATTTAAAAAAAAAGAAAAAATTGCCTCTATATATTTGTTGACATCTGCTAGAATGAAAATTCGATTTTCAGTCAAAGAAATCTCTCCACAAACGAAAAAAAAAACTAACAATATTTATTGAAATATGTTCAAAAACGTCCATTTTAAAGCTGAACTCAAGAAATGACAGAAGTATTTAAAAAAGAGAAAGAAATAGAAAATAAAATATAACGAAAAGCCAAAATATATGTTAAAATCAGTCATCTGTGAGCTGAAATAAACTACTGAAGCATTCAAAAATTACACGTGGAAGAAGCAGTAAGCAAACAAAATGAAAACCTAAATTTGAAGCACCAATAAAACAAAAACAAAAAGAAAAAACTGCCTCTATATTTTTGATCACATCTACTGGAATGAAAATTCGATTTTCAATCCACGAAATCTCTCGACAAACGAAAAAAAAAAACTAATAATATTTATTGAAATATGTTCAAAAAAGTCCATTTTAAAGCTGAACGCAACAAATGACCGAAGTATTTAAAAAAGAGAAAGAAACCGAGCATAAAATATTACGAAAAAACAAAATTTATGTTAAAATCAATTATCTGTGAGCTGAAATAAACTACCGAAGCATTCAAAAATTACACGTGGAAGAAACAATACGCAAACAAAATGAAAAGCTAAATTTGAACCAGCAATAAAACCAATAAAAATTGTAAAACAAAAAGAAAAAATTGCGTCTATATTTTTATTCACAACCACTGGAATGAAAATTTGATTTTCAGTCAATGAAATCTCTCGCCAAACGAAAAAAAAACTAATAATATTTATTGATATACTAACAATAGATGTTGAAAAACATCCATTTTAAAGCTGAACGCAACAAATGACCGAAGTATTTAAAAAAAGAGAAAGAAACCGAGCATAAAATATTACGAAAAAACAAAATTTATGTTAAAATCAATTATCTGTGAGCTGAAATAAACTACCGAAGCATTCAAAAATTACACGTGGAAGAAACAATACGCAAACAAAATGAAAAGCTAAATTTGAACCAGCAATAAAACCAATAAAACTTGTAAAACAAAAAGAAAAAATTGCCTCTATATTTTTGTTCACATCCACTGGAATGAAAATTTGAATTTCAGTCAATGAAATCTCTCGACAAACGAAAAAAAAAACTAATAATATTTATTGAAATACTAACAATAGATGTTGAAAAACATCCATTTTAAAGCTGAACGCAACAAATGAAAGAAGTATTAAAAACGAAAAAGAAACGAAAGATAAAATACAACGAAAAGTTAAAATATGTGCAAAAATCATCCATCGGTGAGCTGAAATAAACTACTCAACCATTCAAAAACTACTCGTGAAAGAAACAGCACGCAAACAAAATGAAAAGCCAAATTTGAAGCACCAAGCAAAACCAAGAAAAATTCTAAATCAAAACGAAAAAAATTGCCTCTATTATTTTTCTTGACATCCGCTGGAATGAAAATTCGATTTTCGACATAAACTACTGAAGCATTCAAAAACTACAAGTGGAAGAAACAGTAAGCAAACAAAATGAAAAGCCAAATTTGAAGTACCAACCGAACCAAGAAAAGTTTTAAAATCTCCCAAACTTATTTTTTATAAGCCGAAATTCCGCCCCCTTCTAAATTATAAAAAGTTGATAGATTCCGGGAAAAACTGACCGATAAATTACCGAACGAAATGAATAAGATGATTTAATGGCAAAAATTTTTGCCTCCCCTATGCGCGGCGAACTAAAACATCCAGACATTTTTCATTCTATTTCCGTTATTATTGACATATCCATCTTCGATATTTTTTTTAACAGGAAGTTACAATGCACCGCGTTGTCCGTAAATCCTGCGTTCTTTTCGATAAAAGAATATTTATCCCATTCTTTGCTTATAAAAGAAATATAGTTAATTTTAAAAAATAGATTCAGGGTATCCAATTTAAATCCATTAAAAAGACCATGACAAATTCTATGCAGGATTGTTGCTCTGCAAATAAACCCATAACTTCGATAAGACACCCCAGTACTGTACAGTAAATTTATGACAATAAAATTGTAGGTAGACGCAGACATAGATCTTCAAACTACGCTTCCCATGACAATACCATCTGTGACCGTTCATCCGGTTCCTATGGGTACCATTGCCGAAGTAGTAAGATACCCGCAGTACCCTGAGTATCCCACACATATGCATTCACACTCGCACACATTTCGAGGCTCTCAAGTTCCAGTGGTAGAAAACGATCCGGCTAGTAGGAGTAATATGAGGGATGCCAGCACCAGCCAGTACTACTATGGATGACCAGAGCATTCGGGGAGCGAGGCGGTTCCCCGAATATCCCAATCCCAATCTCAAGAAAAGAGGGGAAGCTCTTTCGGCTGTCCAGATCAACGCACGTACTGTTTCTAAATGTGATTTGCGTTGGTACTGTGATATTAAGTGAAAATGTTTATACAAGTCTACAAATTTTATACTTATAGGAAAAATTCGGATGGTAAAATCTCAATAATTATACCCGTGTGGGCGAAATTTATATATAGCCCATTTACGCTACCTATACAAAGAATGTACTGCTATGTCAACATGCAATGAAAACAAAATAAGATTTACGACCACACAACAAGCGGGTCAACTAGGGTGTAATGGACATTGAGGTTTTACATATCGGATTTTTTATAGAATAAGATTTGAAGCAATGACTGTATATTGTAATTTGATGTTAGAAGCGATTTTTGATATTGACTGTCTGCCATTTCTATAGAAAGATTTAATTTGCAGCCTTTTTTATACATTATGATAAGTTATTCTATTAGAAGCAATTAAATTATTGATTATTCGTAAGTTTCCCTTTGCTAATAACTTACAGAAGCAAGTTTTTGAGACTGTTTTACAATTAGACTATTAATAAACTAAGTTATTTTTCGGAAATCAAAGCCAAATTATATTGACCAGAACTTTGTTCTTTTTTCTGATGATCTATGTAAATAGTGTAAATTAGATACACAGGGTAAGAAGGAACGAGAACTAGAAATCTATCGTCATCATTTCAAATTGTTAAACCTAACCCGGTTGTTACTACCCTAAATGTATTAAGTAAATGTAACAAAGACAAACTTATATGAAGTCGCTATTAAGATAGTATAAATGTTATATTGTTACACATATATTACTTTAAAATACACACAATTTAAATATCTAATGTTGGAAATAAACATAATCTGTCTTTTTTTTTACTTAGAAATATGTGAATCTTCATAGATGTTAACAGTACCTTTGTTACTAGTAAACATAATGGATATACTTTCAGATTTTACCATCTTTTCAATGCCTATGCTGCCATCTATGAACCACTTTTCTAAGTACTTTATGAAATGAAACTAACAATTACCTCACTATTTTTTTTAAATCTGAAATTTATCCTTTGTGATTACTAGAAAATGTACGTTTCATTTTTTTGTATAAATGTTATATAACTCATATTTTAAATAAATGGTCTTTTGGTTCATTCAATTATTATTTATTAATAATCAAATTTTGAATATTAATATTAAATATTTCCAATGTGTTATAATTAATTATAGAGGCAAGGTGGAAAATTTCTTAAGTACAATACATATTAATAATAATAAATAAAAAATAAAATAATAATAATAATTTATTAATGATTTTTGATAACAATAAATTGGCTACCACCAATGGAAACCGAGCAATTAAAAAGAGTATAAACATTTGTATAGCAATGGCCACAAAGACTCATGAGGAATCTTCCCATTTGTATCCAAGCTCTGATGTAACAGTACGGTACAATAAATAACAAGAAAAACGTACCTTTTCTAAATCGTTTTGAGATGCTGGCATTCTCGGATGTTGTTTCCATGAGGATTATCAATAAACTATAGACTGATCCGTTTAATAACTTATCCCTGCAAAAATTTCAGTTGCCACCCGAGCACTGAAGTTGCTTAAAATATCATAAAAATGATCACTAAACTCAATTTTCTCTATTTTGTAAAAATTACTAAAATCGGAATTTCAAGATTAAAGGTAAAACCCCAAAAACTAACCAAAACATATTTGGTTTACGTGCTGCCATCTAGCGAGCCAGTCGGCAAAAACTTCATTTTGCTTTTTTATATAACGCATAGATGGCGCAGTGACATGGCGAAAATGGTTTTTGATTAAATACTGAAATTTTAATACATTTAACCGTAAACAGTCCGGAGAGTTTTGCGGCTTGTAGTCATAAGCAAATTAGAAACTTCGTCCTTTTTTCTGATTTATGTAAATATTGTAAATTGCATATATAGGGTAAAAGAGAATTAGAAAATCATTTTTGTCAACTGTTAAACCAAACCCGGTTGTTACTTCCCTAGATGTATTAAATAAAGGTAACAAGATAAAGCTTATATAAAGTGGCTGTCAAGATTGTACACTACTTCCAAAAACACACATTTTAAATACCTAATATTCGAAATTTAGAAATATCTGAATCCTCATAGATTTTACAGAACTTTTGTTCTAGTAAGCACAATGGATTCATGTTCCGATTTTACACTCCTTGATCAATCCTTATAAAGTGCAATTTTTTTTTTGTATAAATGTTATATGACTCGCATTTTAAATAATGTTCTTTTGGTTCATTGAATTTTACTCTCATTTATTTTTACTAATAACCAAATTTTGACTACTTGGGAAAATGATTTCCAATGTTTATCTAATTATATAAGCAAGGTGAAAAATGACTAATGTACAAGCGAAGACAATACATATTAATAATTAGATTGCATATGTTTTGTAAAAACAATTGGGAAACATACATTAAAAAGAAAAGGGTAAAATTATAATAGCATATTTATTGAACAATCATCATTTTTGATAACAGAAGATAACAATATCATTTTAAACCTAAAAATACTAATCCCCCACGTCACTATCTCGATCACCAATAAGATAAAGAAACTGAAAGGCAATACCCAACAACATGGTGCCCAACAGGTCACCTAAGGCCGTTAAATAAGGAATAGCAGAGTTGTCAGGATCGATTCCTGATTTCCACATGCTAAGAGTTAATACCTGTGCGCTATAGAGTAATAGAAACACCTGAAGTAAGGCGGCCATCAAATAGACAATCATGAAAATGAGGGTAAAAGAAGTATGACCTGCTTTAAGGTAACTAATAGTATAGGAAAATATGAGATGGCCTGGTATGACCATTAACATAAGCATTTGAGCTGTGCCCCCATGGCTGGTCTCTTTTTTATCACAGAATGCAGAGCAAGGGCTTATACAAACTTGCATATGGCTTGGCAGTTTCCCAGGTTTACCTCTCCTGTGCAATTCTGTTGAAATACGACTTGCTTGCACAGCAACGAGATTACCACCTACCCCATTAATCACTAATTGGAAAACTGCTACACCCTTATATTGTGAAACAGTAAAATCTAAAATCAAACCACCAACACTACTAATAATCATGGCCGTAATTACTGGACTCCACCCACTAAACAAAACTTTGTGAGTGTGTTCATTTTGACTAGCTATGTAAGACCATAAAGGTACTATAGATAATCCTAACACAATAAGACTTGGTGTCAACCACTTATACTGGTCCATGGAGTGATAAAAAATGGATGCAAACAATGACAAACAAGCCAAGGTTGTGAGATCACCTAAACTGGCAGCTATTGGAGTAGCCACATTGTCAGGGTTAATGTTCAGTCGCCGGGAAAACATAATGACACCAATCATAACTATACCCAAGACAAAACTAGCACCAAATGCTGTAACAATGCTGCTGGCACATAAGAGTAACGCATGTTTTATATTTATGACACCAGTAGGAACCCAGCCGAATACAACAGCAGCAACAGATGCTAGAAAACCAACAACTATAGCCTGACATAATATTAAAGCAAGATTTCCTGTAATTAAACTTAATTTTTGTTTTCGCGTGTCTAAATGGCCCAAATTTGCATGCGTGGAGAGCCTAGATGCTAAAGTCATTTCCAAATTTCCTTTAAGTCCTAGTAAAGCGGGTACAAGAATATATACTTCAGATATATTTTGGTATACTGGCCAATGCTGCACTTTATCCAACAATAAACTTGCTCCAACCATTCCAAATCCAGCAAGTAAGAAAGGTATAAACATTTGTATAGCGGTAGCCCACACCGACTCATCAGGAATTATCTCTTCATTTGCATCCACGCTCTGATTTAACAGTACACATGTGTCTGATGTGTACTGTTCATTATCATCCTAAGGTAATACAGGATAACTTAAAAACATTTATGTAGAATAAAACTTACCATGCCTTGCCCATCTTCAGACATTCTTTTATGACCTCCTATACGGCGTTTATAAATTTCTCTGCCTACTACATCCATTTTGTTTTCGTCGTTGAAAATAGCCTAACATTTTGAAAAATCTACGTGATCTAAATCTTTTTGAGCTGCTGGCATCCTCGGTTCTTGTTTCCACGTCGACTGTTTCTAAATAAACTAATTCGTTTGATTACGTTTCCCTGTTCCGTTCCTTATCAGCTTGTCACAACACTGTCAAAATTTCACATTTGATGGTACCATCCAAGGACTGAAATTGCTTAAAATATCACAAAAATGATCACTAAACTCCTTTTTGTCCATTTTGTAAAAATGACTAAAATCCGAATTTCCAGAATAATACTAAAACCCCTAGGAAATATATTTGGTATACGTGCTGCCATCTAGCGAACCAATCGGTGAAAACTTTATTTTGCTCTCTTGTTTAACCAATAGGTGGCGCAGTAATATCGTGAATATAGTTTTTCATGAAATGCTTAATTTTTTATACATTTTAACTCTAAACAGTTTGGAGGATTCTGCGACATGCTGTTATAAGTGGATTATTGCATTATAAAATATTGTTAAAAGTCAAACCTCTCTCTCTACCCCAAAAAATGTATTAATTTTGCTACTCAAGCTTTAGAAGAATAAAAAATATTCGTAGTATCTCTATTTAAATAACGAACGATGAATCGTTTTAACATATTAAAATGAAAACCTTTTGAAAACTAATGGTTTAGAACGAAGAAGTTCCATTGCAAAATTGATAATCATTCCTCACGCAATTTTTTAGAAAAAATGCTATTTGCCGACCAGAGGGATAATTCTGAAATTTGTTTTGTGTATCACTCTTCGCTGACCTTGCTTTAAATAATCAAGATTAATATCTTGACTATTATAAAACGCAAACCGTATATAATAATAATAATATGAGTGTACATACGTACTCATATGTTTAGTAATGGCTAATATCCTGTTTTGACACAAGTCGTAACAGCCTTTTTAGTAGATTAACGGTGCCAGAATTAATATTACAATCACGTACAATTTCGGAAGGAAGATGAGGGAGGATCTCGGATCCTAAAAACCAAATAAATAGTAACTCAAGGCCTGTGCATCATAGCAAAATTCATGGGGCCATTTGCGGGCGTAATGATATAATGACCATAATAACTTTAAGCTATTGCAGGCCAATTGCGCACCAACTAGTTCGAAGTAAGACATCCAATTGAAAGGTGTAAAAATACTCGCAAACTTTTGAGTGTCGCTTCCCTGCCATTCGACATCTGTACATATTTTGTTTTTCACCGGTAAACGTTCATTTTAGGTGGTGAAGTGCTGTGCGAATCTCTTTTAAATGTATATACACGCCAATTCTGCCTTCTGAAGATGACCACTTCCACCAGAAGTAAAAATATGTGCAGATGGACACAGGGTAAGCTACTACGGCATACAAAAATTAATAGAAACAAAAAAAATATATTCAATTTAATCTATTAATTTTTTATGAATTTTAAAAGAGATATTTTTTCCATGTATTAATACCTTGAGCTTGATTATTCATTAGTTCCACATCAAAAACGTGGCTCATACTGTCAAGAGTAATCGCATAGACATGCATTGAACTTAAATATATTTTTTGAGATGTTTCATTAATAAAGAAATAGTTTATTAGTATTAAAAAAAAATGAAATAAAAGTTTTATCGTGAAGTGTTCCCAAATATCCCATCTTATTAATTCCTCATGCACGTGCATCCCTTTAAAAGTCCGGGATTTTACGGGCACGTTTTGAATCAGACGATTCCCAGACGTCTGCACGACCCGTTTAAATCGATATTTGTTCAGTTTGTTATACGATGTAGTCGCGTAAACAATGTGCAAGCCGGTTGGCGAATTATTTCAATCAAACACTGTGTCCACGAACACCAAATAAATCTCTCCATCCGAGGTAGGTCACCTTTCTTATCATATTACGTATATTCTAGTAACGCATTGTTTGAATTACGCAAATTGATAAGAAACGATTTTTTAAATAAAACAAAACGGTCTAAAAATATCGACAAAATCACGGTAAGAATTTTTGTTTTCTTTATCGGAAAACTTCTGAAAAAAATTCTTGAAAAATCTAGCGTCGTTCTACTTCGAAGGAATTGTGCAACGATAGCTTCAAAACGTAAAACAGAATATATTAGGTTGGTTAAAAATTTGTATTCGATTATTTAGCAAAGAAAGCAATGGAGAAGCAATGGAGACCTGCAATTACATACAATTGGCAGACAAATTGTCGAAAACATCCGAATCCCAAAACGTTTTCCCCCATATCTCAATAGAGATGAAAGCAGTGGTCGCCACAACTGCACCAGACAATAATGAAAATGATAACGGCAGACTACCTGATATTGTCGTTGGTGCGACAATGTGCGAAGAGGACCAAATCCAAGAGACTTATTTTTCTATCGCTATACAAGTCTTTATACCATTCTTGGTCGCTGGTTTTGGCATGGTTTTTGCTGGATTGGTCCTAGATAAGATACAAGTTCGTCGACGCAGGACATAAGTTACGATTATTGCATTTGGAACTGTTTTCTAGCACTGGCCAGTTTTCGAAGAAATATCGGAATTGGTAATATTAATTCCTCCACTATTGGGTCTCAAGGGAAACCTAGAAATGACGCTTGCTTCGCGACTCTCCACGCAAGCAAATTTGGGCCATATGGACACAGGCAAACAAAAGATCAGTATTATCGTCGGAAATTTAAGTCTAATTCAGGTAAAAATGTTTTTACTATTGAAATATTTCCCGTAAATAATTTTGTAACGTGTTTTTAGTGTCAGGCGATTGTGGTCGGATTTCTGGGTGCCCTAGTTGCAGTAATAATGGGCGCTATTAAGAGTAACGAGGTTGAATTGGATCACGCTTACATTTTGTGCGCTAGTAGTCTAGTCACCGTATCGATCGCTAGTTTTGTACTTGGTTTGATAACTGCTGGGGTCATAGTGTTCAGCAGGCACTGTCACATCAATCCGGACAACGTAGCTACCCCTATAGCCGCTAGTTTGGGCGATATCACCTCTCTCACTCTACTATCTTGGGCATCAACCATTTTGTACGATTCTATAGGTGAAGAAAACGAGCTGCCTCAATTCATAAGCCATTTTGATGAGATTCATTGCTATTTTAGGCACGGAAGATTGGTTGGCACCTTTAATAATAGCTGGATACATCCTCGCAATCCCGTTATGGGTGTGGATAGCGAAAAGGAACCCGTTAACCCGCGATGTTCTCTTCAACGGTTGGACGCCAGTGGTGGGCGCTATGCTAATAAGTTCGATGGGCGGATTGATTTTGGATTTTATGGTAAATCGATTTAAGGGAATCGCGGTATTCCAACCAGTCATCAACGGAGTTGGAGGCAACCTGGTGGCGGTCCAGGCGAGTAGAATATCCACAGCGTTGCATAAACAAGCAGAATTGGGAGTATTAACGACGGATGAGGACGAGGACGAGACCGAAATTTTTATAACACCCGTCACTGGATTTTGCGGAAGCGACGGGCATGCGCGCACCACTAGAGTATTAATGACCATGGTCATACCGGGACATCTCATATTTATTTTCACCATCGACTATATCAAAGACGGGGAGACTTTGCTGAGTTCCCTTTTCATTTCAGTTTATTTACTAGCAGCTGTCATGCAGGTAGCCACTTTATTATACGTCGCGTATATAATGATACACTGGATGTGGAAGAGGAAAATCGATCCAGATAACTCAGCCATTCCATATCTTACCTCCATCGGTGATCTACTTGGTATTACTTTATTAGCGATCGCCTTCCAGTTTTTATATTTGGTATTCGACCACGATATCGAGACTGCTGATTAGACCTCTTAGTTGTTTTTTTTTTGTGATATGGAAGCTGCAAATTGTTTCATAATTAGACGTTTCGAGCGAATCACGTTACAAATTCCAATAATTTATTTTTAATAAAAAATTTCATTCTTAAAACGACCTGATTTGCTTTCACAGACCTACTCCTAGCATATCCTGCCTGTATTTTGACGTATTTTCTATATTTTCACTAAAGAATGAAATTGGTGACTTAAAAAAATCCGTCATTATTATTAGACAATGCACTGGCTTTCACAAAAACCTCTGTTCTCTAATATTAGGTCTAAATTGTGGAAAACTATAAATAACCACCTCTCACACTTAGAGAAAAATCAGATTTTTCCCGAAAATCAGAATGGATTTAAGCGGTACAATGGATGGCAGCACTGGCGAGAGCTACAGATGCTGGTCAAATCACTGTATTAGCATTGCTAGATGTTTCAAAAGCCTTAAACATCACAAAACATTCGTACTAGTTTTATATTATATAGGGTTATAGTGATCAGGCTTTACAATTCTTTAGAAATTGGTGGAAAGTTTCAGAAGAGCTGTCAATTAATTCCGCAGTTAATTTGCTTCGTTCTCGTCCAGCAATATACCATGATTTGGAAAATCTTAAATCAATATCATTAAGGCATTCTCTCATTCTGAACCCAAACAAATGTTGTTTAATAATATTTGGTCCAAAAATGCCGTTTCTTTTAAAAGAAAACAATATTGTAAAGGTACAATTATGCACTTGACAACACGCAGTGATACTGCTGCCGAAACGTTATATAAACAAAAAAATAAAAACAATGGAAGTTCGATAGTCTCTAGTATCTATTGAATCATTGCGACCACCTTCAAGTTAGCTATAAATATCGATAAGGAATTCATCTTTTGGAGTACATGACAACGATTTTGTAAGCCACATATTTTAAAAAGTTTGTTTAAATGTTTTCGACCTCCTTGTTAGGCAGCCCATAGTAAGAACACCAAATTACTAGACAATATTCTAATAATAATAATAGTAATAATAATAATAGTGTCTTTATTTCCGCAATATACGTTTTCCTGTAAAGCAGTGCTATAGAAAAAATGTATACGTACATACAATGTAGAAAATCGCGAAGTTGAGTGAGGGACTAGCCCCAGCACCATGCACTACTCAGCCGCGAACATCAATAATAAAATTATATAACATATTAGGCACAGCATACGTAAATTCTTTCAATTTTTAGTTTATAACACGTAAGAACTTCTCTGTACTAGTGATACCAATAGTTATTGCAGTGTCTGCTAAAATAATATTGAAAAATGTGACGTTAAATTTTACTGGAGCAAGAGATTTAAAATGGTCAGGAAGAGAGTTGTATAATTTGTCTATGTTGTATATAAAACTTCTCTCAAAAGGAAAAAGGAAGATCTATGACTATCTAGCGTTATTATATTATTATATATTTATATACATTATATATTTATAATATGTACACGGGACCTGAATATAATTGTATTATGCAAGTATGCCGCAGTTTTCTAAAACAATATTCGATGATGAAAACAAGCAAGATGTATTTTTCTTCTTTTGTCCATTTTCAACCAATGGAACGTGTTATATCCTTGCGTGATACCCTTTCAAATTTTTGAATTCAGCATATGAGACGAATACTTTCTGTATTTTGTTCTATTGTGCTGTCATTAAACAAGTACCGTAGACATAAACACCATAGTTGAATATACAGAGCACAAGGGAGTCACATTTTTAAAATTTGACAACAGCTTTAATCTTACCTAAGCACATTGAATACGATTTGAAAAAAATACTAAATTGTCTTTAATTTCTAAAGTACAATCCCCTATTTTTATAACAATGTTGTGTTTTATACTAGAGATGTCATTTTTGTTATACTAGAAATGTCATACTTGGGTTAGCTTTAATGAGATTGATTTCAGATTTTCCAAGTTATCGTATATTGCTTGACAATAACCAAACAAATGATCTTTAGTGAATAACAGAAATATAGCTCTCCGGAGACCTTTTCACGATTTATAACAAGTAAGAAATTTCTAAAGAAATATATAGTCTGAACACAATCCTAGGCAATGTAAAACTGCTAACAATGTTTTGTGATTTATTGCGTGAAAGGTTTTTGAAAAATATACTAATGCTAATGCTGTGATCTTTCCATCATCTGTAGCCCTGAAGATGTCATCACTGACATTCGCCAGTGCTGAACAACATTTAAGGTACCTCCTAAATCCAGACTGATTTTCGGGAAGAATGTGGTTTTTCTCCACAGCTGGTTAATTATAATGTTCTCCAATTTTGACCTAACATTAGAGAACAGAGATTTTTGCAAAAGCCTTGCAGTGTCTAATAATAATGATGGATTTTTTTAAAATCACGTTCAGACTGTGCAGTCTTTACTTTATAACAATTAAAGACACTGGGAGTTCAATTATCTGTTAGGATTTCTATTTATAGCTTAAATTTACGAAAAAAAATGGCTGATAATTTTCCTTTATTGTACTGAAACAAATTTTGTAGTTATTTTTTGTAAAATTTAATTGTAATATAAATATTATAAGATGTATTTAATTTCACTGTTGTTATTATCATTATTATTATTATTGCTTTGTTTTGCGAATTGATAAGCGCTACTTCAAAAACCCACAGGGCTAAATTTAAAGGTTGGGGGCAAACGAGATTTTGGTAGGCTATAAATCTGAAGGATATTCTCAAACCGAGCAGTCAGCAACTCGTTTAAACAATACCCGATTTTTCTTGCAACGTTATGCTTCGTTCAGATCCCAATATACCGATTTTTGTTTCGCGCGTACATACAGGGCGAAATTTGCCGTTGCTTGTAATTATGCAATTATTTTATTGGGTAAGTGCACTAATTATCTACTATTTTATGTTTTAAAGTTTCGTTTCCTGCTTCATCTGTTTTATCTATATTTGTTGATCTGGTTGTTCAAAAATGTCCTCCTTGGCTGTGTAAAAGAGGTCTAAAATATCGATTTTTTTATTATTGTTTCTAAAAATGAAATTTATACCACAAATACCTTTCATAAAAGTTACTGCTGACAACATTTTAATATTTTTTGCAGAAAAGTCGCTAAAGTTATTGTACCCTCAAATTCTGTTGTCTAAAGCATGTTTTTGAAATACTTTTTTAAGTTTAAACTAAAAAAATACTGTTATATACTGCATATATAGTAATTGTCATATTTGATAAAGAATCTCAGGGAATCATGATTATTTTAGAAAGCAAAAACATTGTAAACTATTTTGAAATTAAATACATTTTGTCATGACTCACTTTAAGGGGTTTGTGGAATAGATTTAGGTGTGTTAAGCGATAAATGCATATTAACCAACCTAATACCAATTTTTAATATTCTAATCAGCATGTAAATTAGCAGAGCGATTTTTGCTACAAAAAAAAACAAGTCTACATGTTAAAAAAAAGTAATGTTGAGAGCATAAAACTTTAAAACGCTGCTATAATGACGAATTTATGCAGTTTAATTTCAACGCAATTAGCAAAGATGTGTTGAATATTCAACATCGGGATATATAACCCACATTGTTTTCGGTTTCCAAATCGATTTGTCATTTGATACGGGTAATCCGTAAATGGGAATACTTAAATCTTCTCGATCGATTGGAATTTTAAAACAATGAATAATAACAAAAGAAAGTCTATTATGTATTACGTTTCAATTAAAACAATAGTGATTATCTGCATATAACTACATAGCAATGATTTGCATATACCAAATCACTGTCTCAAAAACAATGAAAAACGATTTCGATTTCCGATGATCTTTGTTAAAAGTATATCGAAATCCCACACAAGTCATTCGATGAGGAAGTGATTTAGAAAATAAAAACCTTCGGTAACGTTCAAGTGAGCAAACAAATCGCAAAAAAGGTCGCGTGCTCCAATTTAACGATTTAATTAGTATTTTGGGAATTAAGAATACGACAAGAAATTCCTGTATAGCGACATTTGAACGATATGTCAAGGTTGATTTGCGAGGCACTTCAGGAATTGCATCAACCGATGCCCCGTATTAAAGTTTTCGGTTGTGAAAGAACTCGACCATCCGGTGATCTTTACCAAAATTATTTTTAAAACGGGTTGCGACTTCTTAATCGATGCAACGCCCATGCCAAAGGCGATGGAAATTTTATCTCATCTGTTACGTCGTCAATGGCGTTCGAACACCGCCAAAGTCAAAGGGTGCGCTTTTTGCGAACTTATATATTGACGTTTTTGATTATTAGTATGAAAGACGTAAAAATGCGTCAGAGTTTAGTGAATGACAATAAGATCTAAATTAATTTTTTTAAGTATGCTGATGGTACTTCTGATACAAAATTTCATGTGTTAAATAATTTCAATTTTGTTATTATAGATGCAATTAAAAAAGAAATGCAGAAATGGTTGGACAAGTACAGTCTTATTATCTTTAATTGTTTATCTTTAAATCATTTTTAAATACAGAGAAAATCAATATTACTTCAGCACCTGATTTATTTAGCCACATTTATTCTGATGATTTAATAACAGCGTTTCCTATTTCTCACAATACCTGTGAGTAACGCTTAAGGAAATAAATCATTTTCCATTTTAAAATTAGTTAGAACTAACCTGAGACACTCTTTGGATAACAAGAACGTAATTTCTTTTGCAATATTATCAGTTGAAACAAAATACTGACATTCTGGATAAAACGTAATTATTTGGGTATATTTTCAGTTGAATTTATTAGTTAGGTTATATTTTTTAAAATAAAATATCCTCAAATATCTTTATTGTACTCATTTATTTGTTTTTTAGCAATAAAAAACATACAAAATAAGTTCCATTGTTTTTATTTGACTTAAAGACTCTCCATTACAAAATGTTGCGTAGTTTATTCAAATAAAGATAATAGAAGTCGAAACTCTTTTAGTTTCAACTCTCAAGCAGGGTCTCTCAATACTTCAATAATTCCACATGACGTTTATTATTATTTTTAGATACTAGGACTCGTATGGTTCAGTCCGTGTTCGGCTCAGCTATTATTCTATACGCCTCCACCTCATATTTTCACGCCCTTTGTACCGAACGTCTATTATCAACCTTCCCAGTACCTTCAACAACCAGTTCTACCTGAAACTTATCATGTTCCAAGCTTAAACTATCACTCTCAACACTCGGAGCAACAATATTTACCGCAGACTCAAAGGGTGATCTCAAAAACTCAACCTTTGAGATCGGACGAACCAAGTAACAGTTACAAAGGGTTCGGATATCACACCAAATATGATGACGGTGCTACTTCTTCAGTAGTATTTTTCACTGGTAATCAGCTAAGTAATTTCGAATGAATTATTTGCACTTGAAAGTTGTTCTAGGTGGAATTCCCGAGCCCAATATAGCTAACAATGGCCAAAGAAAAGAGATCATTACGGTCGCTTCCGACGGCATAGACCCGCAAGTGCCGAAAGGAATCGAAGATACAATTAACGAAATATTTGCTAACCCTACCGCCATCCGAGGAAGATCGGCTCAAGGTTTGGAGTTGGGGAAGCCATTTTCTCCATTCACGCCCCTTATTGAAGCGTTCATAAAAAATCCGTACTCGTCGTCCCAAGTATTCCACTTTTATTCCCTACCCGAGGTTACCAATTCTATTGAATCGCGTTCGTTAGTCGATAATGGCCGTATCGCCACTGAGAAGAACAGTGAAGTTGGAACTCCCACCACGGAAAAGGTGAGACTCGAAGGATTTGATTTTTGTTTGTTAAAATAGATAGTTATTTTGTAGCCTGACAAAGACGAAGGCAATACAACTGCTAAATCCGATGAAGTATCGCATACACCTACAACCTTAGAAAAGAATTCACAAATGGAACCAATTTCATCTACCACAGTAAGCGGTAACGAAGTTACGGATGGAATGATGGAAATAGAAAAAATAGACGCCACTGATGCGGAAATTCAAACGACAACTACCGACGATTTTGAAACAACAGTAACTGATGCAATTTCCTAGCTAGCAAATTGAAGAGGTTTAAATTGAACTCGCAGGTGTTTCCCAAAGTCTGGGTGATAAAAACGTGCATAATTTTTTTAACTGACTTTATTTCAATTCCATTCTCTACACTAATATATTAATACATTAATAACATATGTACTCGTGTCGAAGCACGTTAATTCTTATACTATGCAGAGCAACTATTAATGAAAAATAGTTATGATTATCCATCCAAATCACAAGTTCATATCCAAATCACCCTATCCCTACCACGAGTGGATACAAAATTTGATCCCGCTGCTCTTTTGATAGCGATCTTAAATAAACAAATTTTGACCACTCATTAGTAAAGCGCCAATGTTTCTTAAGTGCCATTACTATTATTGGCTCATTTTTTAAATGCTCATCTCGGATAGAACTTGATTTAACAGTTCGTAGTGATATATACAATTTTATCCAATTTGCCTGACAATACGGTTGTGGAAATGGAATGTCAATTTTTATTTATCGCATTCAAAATTTCACGATGTACTTTCAAGATATAATCAATTATAAGTCAGTAGTTTACTCCCAAAATGTTCAACTGGCGCACTGTTATTTTTATAAAACTTTTTATAAAATTGTATAATCCGCTTAATTAGTTTATTAATTCGCGGGTACGAACCGAACACACGTAGGGTTAGACAGTTGATGTTAGAAAAAGAAAACGATGAGCTACACGTTTTGCGACAAAGTTCTAAGTTTTATAGAAAATTTATAAATATGTTACCGATTTTTAAAAACCGTCTTTCGCAATTGCTATTAACGCAAAAGAAAACAAAATAGTTTAAAGTGTGGATGAAATCGATGAAACAATTTTGGTGATATGTCGAATGCTTCAAAGTAATGTAACTGTTGGTTCTTCTTTCCTAGTAACACGGATCAAGTAAGTTTTAAAAACTCGTATCGATTTAAATTTATGTAACAGAAATGTATTTCCTTTTGTTCAATTTTAATGATTTTTGAGTATTTAATCGATCTAGGCCATTATATAGGTTTGTTTCGGTTTATAAAAAATAATGTTGCGTCTACATTTGATTCGCTTAAAAAATTTACTTGATCTTCCTAGTTCCTTCTAAAAGTTCTACAGTGTTTTTTTTTTGTATTCTAATGTGCCTAAGAAATTGGTCGTTCGAATTTGGTTACGTTTCTAATCACATTATATGATTATTTTAACAATCACAGTGAATGATATTTTTTAAGAAAAACTCATGATTATGTTTTCAAAACGAACATGAGCCGCAGAAGAAAAGATTGATAGGTATTCGGTCTGTAGATTTTTGGAGGTTTTGCGACTTTGATCCAATAGTTATTTTTTGGGGTTTTCAAACACTACTCACTATAACTTCTTTGTTTATTTATCATCTAGTACTTAGTGTTTTAATTATGTTGGTATGTTATCAGGGGCGTGACACCAACTTTAAATATAGGTATTTATAATTGGTGCAACACCCTTTTTATATTACGTTCGCCGTTACTGACAAAACCAAAGCTTAAACATTTATTTTTCAATTGTATGAAACAACATTATAAGGTGATATCTTTGATATTGCACATCACTTTTAGCGATGCTCACAGTAAACATTAATACAGTCGTATAAATATCATAGGTGCTAGTTGGGGAAGCGTGCATAATACATTACATTTCGTCAAGATTCAACATATATAGCTAATAATTTGTAACCACATAGATTACCATATATTGATTAACCCATTATATTCTACATATGCGTTATGCTTTCTATATCTTGTATCAAAACTTGCCTCTCCTTGAAATAATATATCTAATATAAAATTTCTTAATATCACGTTAGATAATTACATATTATCACGACCTTTTGACCTTCAACTTACCAAAGCTCTGTCTAAAATGTCATCTTATAAAATCTAACTTTTTGTAGCTTCAAATATTTGCACCCGATATATTTTTATATACATTTTTTAAGATTATCTGTACATTCGGTTTTGCTGTCGAGCTGTATAGAATCCGGTGGCTCGCTCTCGTTGTAGTATGTTTGCACACCAGAACATATAGTTTTGTAATATATATGTATATAGTATTTTATTTATCCTATCTACTTAACATTTAGTCTACTCGTGTTTGTACATTTTAAACTTAAATTTAAATATCTCACTTTAGTTGTTTTACAAATATAAATTCTTATTTCCTACATTTATTTCAGATGATGTCCGTCTGCAACGTGGGGTAGGGGACATTATTTTTTTCATATTTGATCCATTAAACATAGAACAGACAACTGGAAAAATGAGGCCTAAAGGTACTTTTCACAGTAGCTGGATTTTATTCCGACACATATTTTTCTCGCCGTTTTAAAATCAGACCAGGAGACTAGGTGCCAACCATTCACTATCTTCGGCCAGCTGTTAAAAACACCCGAAAATTATCATACGACATCGAACATTTAGAATTTTACACAACGATATATGTAAAGATTTTTAGAAAAGGGGCTGCATAAGCTAAAGATAATGTGGTTGTGTTTTGTAGAATTACTAGTGGTTGGTTTCCAAATTTCTGGATTTTACTGAAAACTGCTCATAAAAATTTCGCCAATAATCATTTTTGATGTGATATTTTCCTTAATTTATAATCTTATCAAATTTTTATGGGCAGGTTTAAGTGCAAATAGCAGATTTACAGACACTCATACTACTAGCATCCTTTTTTTAATCTAATTTTTATCTCCTGGACTGCTTGGTAATGGTTAAAACGCTTCTTAATTTATTCAAAGCTAATAGTGATTGGTGTAAAATTTGTACAAAAATACGACTTAGGTGAGCTCTAAGACCTTTAGTCCTCGTTCAGACACACATATATTTGGCACAAACTTTTACAAATACAAGGAGATATATTAGAAACAATTAAATCTCTTTAGGGTGACACTACTGTCTGTTTCATTGTGCCTGAAATAAAAAAAATATTTAAGCAACCCCTTGGACGGTACAATGAAAATATTGTACACAAGCATTCTACAGGAGTAAGTATGAGATAATAAAAATTCATGCTTTAGTTTTAAAAAATGTTTAAAAAAACATCCACCTAAGTACATATCAAATTACTTCATTCACACTAAGGGTTTGAGGCAGTGACATGCTCAGTGAGATGAGAATGTAGGTTTAGGGATAGAGCATAAGCTCGATGTTGTTCCCATCCCAATAGAGTAAATTCGAATGATATTTGTCTCACCTGGTACTGCTGGATAGGGAAGACAATCCCAGGTTGTTGAAGTGTTGTTGCAGGCGCCGTAATCTGTTGCGGAGTCGTTGGGATCTGAGACGGTGCCGGTATGCTTTGCCAAGATGTCGCTGCTGTCGGTACTTGCAAGCCCATACTTGAATTTAAATAAATGATAAATTATCAATCCCTCTTTTTCCCAAGTCTGTTTACCCCATGTAAGAGGGCGATTGATAGCCTCCAATTGGCCCATAAGCATATCCTTGCATACCCCCCAAAAACTGGCCTTGCATCTGGGATGTGCTCGCAGTTGGATATCCTTGGGGGTACCAGTACCCTAATTGTTGTCCGTATGTGCTGTAAGGGAAGGTTGTTCCTGATATGGCCTGTAATGAAATCTTTTTCAAATAAGCTATGTTTTGACTAAGATTCTTATTGTGCAACGAGTAGTAGCTTACTTGTCCTGCAGGTGGCGCGTTATTTGGATCCCCAGATTCTTTTCCCCAAGAGCATTTAACGACTTGACCGTTGATATCTGTATTATGGACGGCAACAATGGCGTGTGTTGCCGATTCTTTAGTAGAAAATCTGAAAAAAACCCGCCAAATACCGAAGACTAATTAGAAAATTCCTATATATTGAAACGGCAACCTCGGTAACTCCCGAAACTTCTACTTTAAATGGATGAAGTAATAAAGAAGATTGGGTTGAAAATCGGAATTTTAACTAGCGATCTTGCTTAAAACTATGCGAGTTGTATTCAAACACAGTACCTAACGAAGGCGTAGCCCTTCTCCTTGAATACCCTGATTTCTTGAATTGTCCCGAAAGGCGCGAACGTTTTCTGCATGAGCTCTTCCGTTAAGCCATTTGTTATTCCTCCGCAATATACCGTGCAGTTTGTAGGGCTGCTTTGGTTATATACTTCGTCGAAAGTTAGAGGCTTTGCAGCCGCTGCAACAGAATGCGACTTGAACAATTTATTTTATAATCCTTTGAGAGGCAAATTTCTAATTGGAAACGAACGTGTGCCATCTTTTGCAGGGTTTTAGAGCGATTGATTTATTTTCCGGTGCCTTTATTGTAATTGACGAGCGTAATCACAGATGGCGCTCTTAACTAGTTTGAAGTTTAAAACTTTTTTGCGCATTCAAGAAACAAATAGTTTTTCTTCGTTCTAATTTGATGTTTAATTTCACTTAACCCATTGAACATTAAATGAAAACTTTTTTTGAGGCAGGACGGCATAAAGCTATTAATAAAAAATTGATAACCAACAGGATGTTGTTCTAAGCTGAGAATATCAAACTAAAACCGCATCCAAACCAAAAACACTAAACGAGTTAATCCTTTCCGTCAGACTTTTAGTATTCTGACCTAATTTGCTTAAATCATATCATAGTTGGTTAAGCACGAAAGAATATCGTAAAATGTTTAGAAACTCACTTATTATGCATACAAGAACTGAATCGAGGGCCAGACTTTTGTTTGTCTTTTTTGTTTACACGCCATCTATAGCGCTGCTTCATTTTTATGTTTCTAGTAGATATTCTATTACACAGTGGACTGGGATTGGGATTTATTTTCTACTATTTAATTTGGTTTTATTGTAATTAATTAATTTTAAACGTATAAAATTTAGCGTGCTCTTATTCTGAAAACAAAAAACAGGTCGATTCATTGGAAATGCTAATAAACAAGTAGTATATTATCGTATATCTCAATAAATAATAAAACGACCTTGTTAATAAAATATTTGTAGGTTTGTGGGAACAAAATTCGTGTCACCACCGCGATATATCAAGTCAAATAAATTTTATAAATGTCTTACCTAATAATTGAGGCAAAAAATATGGAAAGCGAGGGGCGCATTTTCCGTCAAAATTTTTCGCAGTTTTTCCCCGAGCCCATCAATCACATTTTACCAAAACGTTACGATTTGACTTTTCATCTTAAAACCGTCCCTTCTTCCGTTACAGAATCTCTTTGGTGGTTTAACTCTCAATTATTCTGACAATGCCCTAACAAACACATTGTACCTTTTTTTTATGTTAAGCGATTATTACCTTTTCCCTTTTGCCCTTCGTTCATTTGTTTGAAAAATAGGGAATCGCTGAGGAAAGTTTTAGCACTCTCGAATTTTCTTTTACTAAAGTTTTACGGAAGCGACGCTTTTGTTTTTAATGAATTTTGCCGAAAAATCATCTACATAAGCATTAAAGAGAAGCAATTTCATTCTTGTCAAAATCAATTTTCCAAGTTTTATCGCCATTAATTATATCATAACATAGTTTCAATTATGTTTTTCAACATTCTCAAGGAATTCTTCAAAAATAATTCCAGACTCTTTATCTCGCAATAATGACGATGTATGCGGGACAATACAGGACTTTAATAAAAAAAATGTCTTTTTTTAAGAAAGCTTGTTCGATTTAACGATACGTTCCTGTGGCATGTTATTTTTGCCGCTCTCGCTCTCAAATACGAATTACGCAACCACAAAGGCATCTTTGGGGATGAATTTAAGCTCGCCTGAGTTCGAGTCATAATATCAAGAAGGTAAAAGCGTAGTCCAAAAATGTTTGACTTCCAAAGATTGCCAATTCGCAAAGTTTTAATTAACACCAAAACCGACACATAAAAACAAAAAGTACAACTGGTAAAGAAATTAAAGCCATATGAGAAATCCTGCGTGAAAGATTGTAATAACGGTAAAAATCCAGTCCCATGGTGAGCTTACATTCCTGCAATTCTTCGAATAAATAAATGAAATTGTGCGAGAAAATATGCACGATAATATAATTCCTGAGAATGTTTTAAAAACACGCGATAATTGTATTCACTCCTATTAATATTGTGGTCCAAATAATGGTCAATAGTTTATCTAAATCGTGCCAAGGGCCAGAGAAAATCTTACGATTGAAAGTTCTAACCCATTGAATCCTTTGGGTAAGTATTTGCCCATAACCACCTGTGGCCACAACGCGTATTAAGCAACAAATCAGTCGATTTGTTTCCTGTTTGCCTTCGCTTGCCTTTTTATTTTCCTTTCCGTCTTGCAACATAAGCTCATGTAACAATTCCACTGTTGGCCTGCGTCGAATTTGGGGCATCGTAATTTTGAAAAGTTGGCCAGGCCAACTGAGAATAAAAAATGCACCGCCATAAACAAAGGCGCTATTGTTTCGTCCGCAGTGGTTCTGGATAGACTGCGTGACTCTCTATTTTAGTGTCACGAAAAAGTGTGCACGCTACGAAAATGTTCATTTGTAATCAGTGTTAAAAAGGCCACATTAACTTGTTTATTGGGGTGATGTTTTCCTTTATGCAGAGTTCGCCAACAATACCAAGTACAGCAAACAATCGCAGAACTAAATTTAGTTTGTTTGCAAGTATATACATAAATATCTGTTTGTTTACTACTTCGTAATAAATAAGTTAAAAATTTACAAAAAAATAAAAAAAAAACAAAAAATAATATTGAGAAGTTGAAAAATTGTCAGTTGCGAAGACACGCCAAAAAATCTTTTGTTTTTTCTTTGTGGTGTTATTTAAAGATATACAAAAAAATAAATGATTCATCATCATCAATTTTATTTCTTCATACGATCCGTAAAAAATCTACACCATGTATTAAATTGCATTTTCTATTACGAATACAACGATGGACGACAGAATACGATAAATCACAAAAAAGTGTTTTTATTAAATGTTCAATATTTTGTTTAGCTTACATGATGGGGTTGAGAAAATATCAAAATAATTTTATTGTTGTTGTAGCGTCTGGAAGAGGAGAAGTTTAAATAACTGCTCAGAGAGAAGACAAAAAAAAATTGGAAGATTAACTACAAACCTTAAGCAGTATGGCGCATTTATAAAACCAGATTTGGTTAGTTTTATTTTTAGAAAACAAAAATTTCACCCGTTCAAATTTAGAATTTGTCATGGGCTAAGAAAGATTATTTGGTAGGACGAAAAAAAAAATTTTGAAATTGCGAAATGCTCAATATTGGGCAAGAAATACTCTTAGAGTACACCGAATATTTAGACATCAACCTCGTTTTAGGTATAATTTGTCGGTTGGGATTTATGGAACACATGTAATAAGCCCTTTTTTATAATGGTTCTCTTAACTCTAACTGAGCGTTAGTGCAACCTCTTGTAATACAATATTGAAGAAGCTTTGTATAAGTTACTACTTGCAAACGTTAGAAACTGCTGTCCAATCCTCAAGCGTGTGCGATTACCTATCAGGCTGATTTCTGAAAAAATGGTTTCGGATTTCACTCTATTCGTATCTTTTAAATAGGGATATTGCAAAAATTATGCTTACCAGCGAGTTTTTGAAAATGAGGATCAACTGAGAAGACCAGGTATTGAAGTCTTTGGAAGCATTGTTTGAACATTCTTTATATTGTTTAATTTGTTTAATGAATTAACATGTGTCGTGATCTGCCTCTTTATCTATCACTTTATCCTTATTTATCATGTCAGCGCCTGCTAAACCAAAACATTTTTTTTTGTGATTTAGTATATCTTGCGGTACAATACTGCTCACTAGTTTTATATATTACTTTGCGTTTTTTTGTATAAATTAATATTAGGGATTTTAACATAAAAGATAATGTTCGAATCGATCTAGTCGATCTTGTTATTGAAGATTTCATATAATATACTTTTATTTATTTTATATAATATTGGATCTGAATCTTCACTTTCCAGTGACCGAGCATTGAACTTGCTAAGCAATTGCTCATTCTCAATTCTCCGTTCCGGATAAATACTCTAACTAACTAACAATTTTAGTAACCCTCCCTATACTCTCTTTCTCGGATCGATGTAAACTCTATAAATGGGTTACTGTGAAACTCAAAACTTTACATTTAGAAACATTTAAACTTAGTTAATTACCAGCGCATCATTTCTGGAAGGTATCGAGCTGCTATTGGAGGCTGGTGGAGTCAACACTAGTAATAGAAGAAAAGAAACAGCTGTGCAACATCATTAGAGAACATCAAGAATAGTAAATGACCAAGATTAAATCCTTGTGGTATCCCTGAGGTGGCATAAAAGACATCTAAGGACCCATTATATGCTTCCTGTCCCGCAGTAGCGACCCTAGCAATTAAACCAAAACCTTTATTAAACAGCTTATGACCAACTCTCTCAAAGGCCTTTGATAAAGTTGTCTAAATTATGTCCACTTGAATCGTTTTATCTAATCAATCGGAAACATATTGTGTAGCCTTCATTAAAATAGTCACTGTTGATCTACAAAGAAATAGTTTTAAATAGTCTATATATAAAACGTCCATCTCTTTGCAGAATCTATCTTTTAGTGTTGATTTAAAATTCTTTTTTTTTAATTTTCTTTTTCCAATTGTTTTTAATTTTGTTGTCTTGGTTTTGTAATCTACTGATGTAGGGTCGTTTTGATTTCAGCAATACAGCTCTTTGAAGTCAAAGATATTTTTTTATTTATAAAGTAGAGAATATTCTTTTCATAACATATTTCAACTTCTAAAAACCTATTATGATGACATCTTATCTCCCATCAACAAGCACGCCCATAACTAAACTGTGATTTAATCAGCGAAAAATAAAATACTCTTTGGTATCTAATGTCCAGAAATTCTTTTTCAAGTTTAAATTTGGATATTAAACTTCGAATTATAAGAATTTTTTAAGAACATCAGTTCAGCATTTATTCAGCGAGCAACTCTATATGCAGCACGTGCGACCTATAAAATGACAAAAATTTAGAGCGAAAATAGTGACAATTCAATATTTAACGGTTCCATTTATTTAACTTATGAATTTTGAATAAGCTCTTGCGTTGTAGAGTCTGGGCGCTTCGACTGGTAATAATATTTAACGTTAAATTAATTTGCTGTAAAGCTTAAATTGGAAATTAAAATTGATATCATTACGACATGGCGATGATAATTAATCCC